CTGGCAATATTACCTTTTAAAGTACCTTATCTAATTCCCTCTTGAAAGCAATGTCGAATCTGCTTCCAGCACCGTTTCAGACAGTGCATTCCAGACTGTAACGACTCCCTGGGTAAAAAAAATTCTGCTTGTCTTCCCTCTGGTTCTTTTGCCAGTTATTTTCAATCAGTCAATCACTGGTTACTGCAAGAGGAAACATTTCCTCCCTATTCACTCGATCAAAACGCCTCATAATTCTGAACATCTCTTTTAAATCTGCACTCAACCTTTTCTCCTCTAAGAAGAAGAATCCCAGGCTTCAGAACTCTTTAGCTCATATCCTCTCCCGCATCAGGTTCTGTGAACTTATCACTCTCACCCTCGCCCGACTCCACTGGCTCCTCACCCCCTAGAGGATTGAGTTCAAAATCTTCATCCTGGTTTTGCTCCTCCCTACCTCTGTGATCCAGTAACACCAAACAGACCTGTCCGCACCCTCTGCTCAGTAGGCTCCGGCCTGCTCTACATCACCAGTTCTGCCCATCCCATCTTCCTTTCTGTCTGCACCCTTTGCGACTCAATCTCACAGTCGCTTATCCTCAACCCCTCCCTTGTCTCCTTCAAGGGTTGTCTCATGACCCTCCTCTTTGACTGCTCCTTCACCCTCCTACCTCAACAACCATGCCCTCCACTCCTCCTGATCCGAACCTCAGCTCGGGTCCAAATCGTTGACTGTCCAGCGCATTCGGAAGTCCTCCCGACGTGAAAGACGCTATACAAAAGTAATCTGTTGTTGTAATTCACTCACTGAGCTTCTGACTGATTATAAAACATTCATATTAGACCGGCACACAGAAAAACAAGAGGAACTTTTACTTAGATCTGTAGTCTACCCTAGTCCAGGATCACTGCTGGTCTAACTGATTACCTGTCAAAAATCAAGTCCTGGGTAAGCTCTAACTTTCTCCAGTTGATAGTCGACAATGCAGAGGCTCTCCTGCTTGGCTCCCAATCAACACCTTCTCACCCCACACACAGACATCATCAGTATTTATTGATGCATAATCCACCTCATGGAGGCAATGTGGAACCTCTGTGACTTGTTTGCCGGCCAACTGTCCTTAAACGCCACCTATGTTTTGACCTGTTCATTCCTCCCCTCTGTTACATTGTCTACTTCTGCTACTTCCTCTCCCCTCAGACCGCGAATACCCTTATCAGTGTTTTACCACATACAGGCTTGATTACACCCACACTCTGCTCGCTGGACTTCCCAACTCTTCCCTCCACAAGCGACAGCCTGTTCAGAACTCTGCAGGCCATGTCCTCTCCCAGACCAAACCATGCCTCGCCTGACTCCACCGGCTCTCCATCGCCCGGCAGGCGAGTTCTCACCTTTAAAGCCGTCCACAATCTTGTCCCACCATTTCTCTGTGACCTCTATCTGTCAAACCCTACCAACCCGTCTGCTCCCACCGCTTGGCGGGCACTGTCCTGTTCGCCACACCTCGGCGGTGGCCTTTAGCTTTCTACCCCTACTTCTAGAATTCCATCCCAGAGTTTTTTGCTGACAGACCCCTCCTTTGCCTCCTTGAAGGCATTCCTCTTTTACTGTGTCTTCTGTTATTTTCCCACACGCACACCTTGGCCTCCACTCCTCCCAAATCCAACCGCCAGCTCAGGTGCAAACCCTTGACTGTCCAATTCTTTGGCACATACATTAAAACATGAAAAGCCGCTACAGAAATGAATTTTGTTGTTGTTGAACAGTGACATTAAATGGCTCAAATTTAGGAAAAAATGGCCTCTGACTGTTTGTACTCAATGTTTCATAAAAGATATTGCCAGGAAATTATAGTGGTAAAGTGTATAAAATGCAGATGATTGCACACAGTTACAGTTCACATAAATATCTTTCATTCTTAGGGAAGAAATACGATCCTACCGGATACCTCCCTGATGGTAATGCTCAAAAGTCAAACTGTTTCCTTCGCCTCAACTAATTAAAGACAAAATATTGTCATCGACAGGCTGTCTAGTCAATGTTGCACAGCAATAATCATCAACATTAAATTATAGAATAAAAAGTGTTGTTTAGCCCATTGTGTCTGTGAGAGCGTTCATTCCCCCATTGGAGTTTGCTATTAATAAACCTCCTTTGCTCTTTCCCATTGCGTCTGCACTGCTGCTTCCTCACCAGTAGAGCTCTGTGCTCAACAACATGTTGCATTTGTGTTGTGTGAGGAATAGCACGAGGAGGAAATAAGGAGGGGAAGCTGAGTGACCAGGAGAAGGGTGGGGATTGGGTGAAGGGAAGGAGGACCCTGGGGTTGCCCTTGGTCTCCACGATGATCCTGGAGTAGCAGAACAATTTGGCTGAGGTTAGGCTGAGCGATAGGGTTTAGTATAATCCAGCCATGATCAGCCTGTTACCATGAGGCCAGATTTAAGCCACATGCATTTGGAGGCATGGGCCTGGGATGTGATGGAGCTGAGGTGGCTGTGGTACCAGGAGGATTGCAGGGGGAGCAGACTGTGTGGGGTGTGATGGTGAGAGGGTGTTCAGAATGGTGGTGAGGGAGCTGTGCATGCGATGGAAAGTTATGACTATTGATGGGAAATAAGTAGTGATGTTGATTTAGTCAATCTTTATAATCTTTATAATCTCTTCTCTTGACAGTTCCTGACCATGGTAAGAAACAGAATTGGCAATATTTGTTTCTTTAAATGTATGTTTTTATTCTTGATCGAGTCAATTGCAGCTCTATGACAAGATCTTAAGGTATATGAATTTACAATATTGAAGAAAAGTAAACCTTTCTATGTTGTGCTATTTTGTTTCATTGATTTAGTTGCTACTTTTAAAGTGTATGTAAATATCTAACTTGATAATATTGGTAATATTTATATTGAATTCAGAATTTAAAGCTTATTGTTTAATTGGAAAAGGAGACAGTGTGTTTCCTGATGGATTTCCATTCTCACGTTGTGGAATTGTCCAGATTCAGTACACAGAGAACCATAGAATCTTATAGCACAGAAGGAGGCCATTCGGCCCATCGTGCCTGTGCCGGCTCTTTGAAAGAGCTATCAATTAATCCCACTGCCCCGCTCTTAACCCTTAGCCCTGCCAATATTACCTTTTAAAGTACCTTATCTAATTCCCTCTTGAAAGCAATGTCGAATCTGCTTCCAGCACCGTTTCAGACAGTGCATTCCAGACTGTAACGACTCCCTGGGTAAAAAAANTTCTGCTTGTCTTCCCTCTGGTTCTTTTGCTAGTTATTTTCAATCAGTCAATCACTGGTGACTGCAAGAGGAAATATTTCCTACCTATTCACTCGATCAAAACCCCTCATAATTCTGAACATCTCTTTTAAATCTGCACTCAACCTTTTCTCCTCTAAGAAGAAGAATCCCAGGCTTCAGAACTCTTCAGCTCATATCCTCTCCCGCATCAGGTTCTGTGAACTTATCACTCTCACCCTCGCCCGACTCCACTGGCTCCTCACCCCCTAGAGGATCGAGTTCAAAATCTTCATCCTGGTTTTGCTCCTCCCTACCTCTGTGATCCAGTAACACCAAACAGACCTGTCCGCACCCTCTGCTCAGTAGGCTCCGGCCTGCTCTACATCACCAGTTCTGCCCATCCCATCTTCCTTTCTGTCTGCACCCTTTGCGACTCAATCTCACAGTCGCTTATCCTCAACCCCTCCCTTGTCTCCTTCAAGGGTTGTCTCATGACCCTCCTCTTTGACTGCTCCTTCACCCTCCTACCTCAACAACCATGCCCTCCACTCCTCCTGATCCGAACCTCAGCTCGGGTCCAAATCGTTGACTGTCCAGCGCATTCGGAAGTCCTCCCGACGTGAAAGACGCTATACAAAAGTAATCTGTTGTTGTAATTCACTCACTGAGCTTCTGACTGATTATAAAACATTCATATTAGACCGGCACACAGAAAAACAAGAGGAACTTTTACTTAGATCTGTAGTCTACCCTAGTCCAGGATCACTGCTGGTCTAACTGATTACCTGTCAAAAATCAAGTCCTGGGTAAGCTCTAACTTTCTCCAGTTGATAGTCGACAATGCAGAGGCTCTCCTGCTTGGCTCCCAATCAACACCTTCTCACCCCACACACAGACATCATCAGTATTTATTGATGCATAATCCACCTCATGGAGGCAATGTGGAACCTCTGTGACTTGTTTGCCGGCCAACTGTCCTTAAACGCCACCTATGTTTTGACCTGTTCATTCTTCCCCACTGTTACATTGTCTACTTCTGCTACTTCCTCTCCCCTCAGACCGCGGATACCCTTATCAGTGCTTTTACCACATACAGGCTTGATTACACCCACACTCTGCTCGCTGGACCTCCCAACTCTTCCCTCCACAAGCGACAGCCTGTTCAGAACTCTGTAAGCTATGTCCTCTCCCAGACCAAACCATTCCTCCCTGGCTCCACCGGCTCTCCATCCCCCTGCGGATCGAGTTCTCACCTTTAAAGCCCTCCACAATCTTGACCCACCATTTCTCTGTGACCTCTATCTGTCAAACCCTACCAACCCGTCTGCTCCCACCGCTTGGCGGGCACTGTCCTGTTCGCCACACCTCGGCGGTTGGGCCTTCAGCCTTTCTGCCCCCAACTTCTAGAATTCCATCCCAGAGTCTCGTCGCCTCGCCTCCTCCTTTGCCTCCTTGAAAGCACTCCTCTTTTACTGTGTCTTCTGTTATTTTCCCACCCGCATCCCTTGGCCTCCACTCCTCCCAAATCCAACCACCAGCTCAGGTGCAAACCCTTGGCTGTCCAGTTCTTTGGCACATACATGAAAACATGTAAAACCGCAACAGAAATGGAATTTATGACATTAAATTCCTGAAATTTAGGAAAAAATGGCCTCTGACTGTTTGTACTCAATGTTTCATAAAAGATATTGTCAGGAAATTATAGAGGTAAAATGTATAAAATGCAGATGACTGCACACAGTTACAGTTCACGTAAATATCTTTCATTCTTAGGGAAGAAATACGATCCTTCTGGATACCTCCCTGATGGTAATGCTCAAAAGTCAAACTGTTTCCTTCGCCTCAACTAATTAAAGACAAAATATTGTCATCGACAGGCTGTCTAGTCAATGTTGCGCAGCAATAATCATCTCCATTAAATTATAGAATAAAAAGTGTTGTTTAGCCCATTGTGTCTGTGAGAGCGTTCACTCCCCCTTTGGAGTTTGCTATTAATAAACCTCCTTTGCTCTTTCCCATTGTGTCTGCACTGCTGCTTCCTCACCAGTAGAGCTCTGTGCTCAACAACATGTTGCATTTGTGTTGTGTGAGGAATAGCACGAGGAGGAAATAAGGAGGGGAAGCTGAGTGACCAGGAGAAGGGTGGGGATTGGGCGAAGGGAAGGAGGACCCTGGGGTTGCCCTTAATCTCCACGATGATCCTGGAGTAGCAGAACAATTTGGCTGAGGTTAGGCTGAGCGATAGGGTTTAGTAAAATCCAGCCATATCAGCCTGTTACCATGAGGCCAGATTTAAGCCACATGCATTTGGAGGCATGGGCCTGGGATGTGATGGAGCTGAGGTGGCTGTGGTACCACGAGGATTGCAGGGGGAGCAGACTGTGTGGGGTGTGATGGTGAGAGGGTGTTCAGAATGGTGGTGAGGGAGCTGTGTATGCGATGGAAAGTTATGACTATTGATGGGAAATAATCAGTGATGTTGATTTAGTCAATCTTTATAATCTTTATAATCTCTTCTCTTGACAGTTCCTGACCATGGTAAGAAACAGAATTGGCAATATTTGTTTCTTCAAAATATGTTTTTATTCTTCATTGAGTCAATTTTTGCAGCTCTATGACAAGATTTAAGGTATATGAATTTACAATATTGAAGAAAAGTAAACCTTTCCATGTTGTGCTATTTTGTTTAATTGATTTAGTTGCTACTTTTAAAGTGTATGTAAATATCTAAATTGGTAATATTTATATTGAATTCAGAATTTAAAGCTTATTGTTTAATTGGAAAAGGAGACAGTGTGTTTCCTGATGGATTTCCATTCTCACGTTGTGGAATTGTTCAGATTCAGTACACAGAGAACCATAGAATCTTATAGCACAGAAGGAGGCCATTCGGCCCATCGTGCCTGTGCCGGCTCTTTGAAAGAGCTATCAATTAATCCCACTGCCCCGCTCTTAACCCTTAGCTCTGCCAATATTACCTTTTAAAGTACCTTATCTAATTCCCTCTTGAAAGCAATGTCGAATCTGCTTCCAGCACCGTTTCAGACAGTGCATTCCAGACTGTAACGACTCCCTGGGTAAAAAAAATTCTGCTGGTCTTCCCTCTGGTTCTTTTGCCAGTTATTTTCAATCAGTCAATCACTGGTGACTGCAAAAGGAAACATTTCCTCCCTATTCACTCGATCAAAACCCCTCATAATTCTGAACATCTCTTTTAAATCTGCACTCAACCTTTTCTCCTCTAAGAAGAAGAATCCCAGGCTTCAGAACTCTTTAGCTCATATCCTCTCCCGCATCAGGTTCTGTGAACTTATCACTCTCACCCTCGCCCGACTCCACTGGCTCCTCACCCCCTAGAGGATCGAGTTCAAAATCTTCATCCTGGTTTTGCTCCTCCCTACCTCTGTGATCCAGTAACACCAAACAGACCTGTCCGCACCCTCTGCTCAGTAGGCTCCGGCCTGCTCTACATCACCAGTTCTGCCCATCCCATCTTCTTTCTGTCTGCACCCTTTGCGACTCAATCTCACAGTCGCTTATCCTCAACCCCTCCCTTGTCTCCTTCAAGGGTTGTCTCATGACCCTCCTCTTTGACTGCTCCTTCACCCTCCTACCTCAACAACCATGCCCTCCACTCCTCCTGATCCGAACCTCAGCTCGGGTCCAAATCGTTGACTGTCCAGCGCATTCGGAAGTCCTCCCGACGTGAAAGACGCTATACAAAAGTAATCTGTTGTTGTAATTCACTCACTGAGCTTCTGACTGATTATAAAACATTCATATTAGACCGGCACACAGAAAAACAAGAGGAACTTTTACTTAGATCTGTAGTCTACCCTAGTCCAGGATCACTGCTGGTCTAACTGATTACCTGTCAAAAATCAAGTCCTGGGTAAGCTCTAACTTTCTCCAGTTGATAGTCGACAATGCAGAGGCTCTCCTGCTTGGCTCCCAATCAACACCTTCTCACCCCACACACAGACATCATCAGTATTTATTAATGCATAATCCACCTCATGGAGGCAATGTGGAACCTCTGTGACTTGTTTGCCGGCCAACTGTCCTTAAACGCCACCTATGTTTTGACCTGTTCATTCTTCCCACTGTTACATTGTCTACTTCTGCTACTTCCTCTCCCCTCAGACCGCGGATACTCTTATCAGTGCTTTTACCACATACAGGCTTGATTACACCCACACTCTGCTCGCTGGACCTCCCAACTCTTCCCTCCACAAGCGACAGCCTGTTCAGAACTCTGTAAGCTATGTCCTCTCCCAGACCAAACCATTCCTCCCTGGCTCCACCGGCTCTCCATCCCCCTGCGGATCGAGTTCTCACCTTTAAAGCCCTCCACAATCTTGTCCCACCATTTCTCTGTGACCTCTATCTGTCAAACCCTACCAACCCATCTGCTCCCACCGCTTGGCGGGCACTGTCCTGTTCGCCACACCTCGGCGGTTGGGCCTTTAGCCTTTCTACCCCCAACTTCTAGAATTCCATCCCAGAGTTTCGTCGCCTCGCCCCCTCCTTTGCCTCCTTGAAGGCATTCCTCTTTTACTGTGTCTTGTTATTTTCCCACCCGCAACCCTTGGCCTCCACTCCTCCCAAATCCAACTACCAGCTCAGGTGCAAACCCTTGACTGTCCAATTCTTTGGCACATACATTAAAACATGTAAAACCGCTACAGAAATGGAATTTGTTGTTGTTGAACTGACATTAAATTCCTCAAATTTAGGAAAAAATGGCCTCTGACTGTTTGTACTCAATGTTTCATAAAAGATATTGTCAGGAAATTATAGAGGTAAAATGTATAAAATGCAGATGACTGCACACAGTTACAGTTCACGTAAATATCTTTCATTCTTAGGGAAGAAATATGATCCTTCTGGATACCTCCCTGATGGTAATGCTCAAAAGTCAAACTGTTTCCTTCGCCTCAACTAATTAAAGACAAAATATTGTCATCGACAGGCTGTCTAGTCAATGTTGCACAGCAATAATCATCAACATTAAATTATAGAATAAAAAGTGTTGTTTAGCCCATTGTGTCTGTGAGAGCGTTCACTCCCCCATTGGAGTTTGCTATTAATAAACCTCCTTTGCTCTTTCCCATTGCGTCTGCACTGCTGCTTCCTCACCAGTAGAGCTCTGTGCTCAACAACATGTTGCATTTGTGTTGTGTGAGGAATAGCACGAGGAGGAAATAAGGAGGGGAAGCTGAGTGACCAGGAGAAGGGTGGGGATTGGGTGAAGGGAAGGAGGACCCTGGGGTTGCCCTTGCTCTCCATAATGATCCTGGAGTAGCAGAACAATTTGGCTGAGGTTAGGCTGAGCGATAGGGTTTAGTATAATCCAGCCATATCAGCCTGTTACCATGAGGCCAGATTTAAGCCACATGCATTTGGAGGCATGGGCCTGGGATGTGATGGAGCTGAGGTGGCTGTGGTACCAGGAGGATTGCAGGGGTAACAGTACTGTGTGGGGTGTGATGGTGAGAGGGTGTTCAGAATGGTGGTGAGGGAGCTGTGTATGCGATGCAAAGTTATTACTATAGATGGGAAATAAGCGGTGATGTTGATTTAGTCAATCTTTATAATCTTTATAATCTCTTCTCTTGACAGATTATGACATTGGTAAGAATCAGAATTGGCAATATTTTTTGCCTTGAATGTCTGTTTTTATTCTTCATCGAGTCAATTGCAGCTCTATGACATGATCTTAAGGTATATGAATTTACAATATTGAAGAAAAGTTATCAAGCCGGTGGGTACGTCTGTTTCTGTTATTCCTTGCCAAAAGCACTAAAACAGAATTGTCATAAACCTTTCCATGTTGTGCTATTTTGTTTAATTGATTTAGTTGCTACTTTTAAAGTGTATGTAAATATCTTAATTGATAATATTTATATTGAATTCAGAATTTAAAGCTTATTGTTTAATTGGAAAAGGAGACAGTGTGTTTCCTGATGGATTTCCATTCTCACGTTGTGGAATTGTCCAGATTCAGTACACAGAGAATCATAGAATCTTACAGCACAGAAGGAGGCCATTCGGCCCATCGTGCCTGTGCCGGCTCTTTGAAAGAGCTACCAATTAGTCCCACTGCCCCGCTCTTAACCCTTAGCTCTGCCAATATTACCTTTTAAAGTACCTTATCTAATTCCCTCTTGAAAGCAATGTCGAATCTGCTTCCAGCACCGTTTCAGACAGTGCATTCCAGACTGTAACGACTCCCTGGGTAAAAAAATTCTGCTCGTCTTCCCTCTGGTTCTTTTGCCAGTTATTTTCAATCAGTCAATCACTGGTTAATGCAAGAGGAAACATTTCCTCCCTATTCACTCGATCAAAACGCCTCATAATTCTGAACATCTCTTTTAAATCTGCACTCAACCTTTTCTCCTCTTAGAAGAAGAATCCCAGGCTTCAGAACTCTTTAGCTCATATCCTCTCCCGCATCAGGTTCTGTGAACTTATCACTCTCACCCTCGCCCGACTCCACTGGCTCCTCACCCCCGAGAGGATTGAGTTCAAAATCTTCATCCTGGTTTTGCTCCTCTCTACCTCTGTGATCCAGTAACACTAAACAGACCTGTCCGCACCCTCTGCTCAGTAGGCTCCGGCCTGCTCTACATCACCAGTTCTGCCCATCCCATCTTCCTTTCTGTCTGCACCCTTTGCGACTCAATCTCACAGTCGCTTATCCTCAACCCCTCCCTTGTCTCCTTCAAGGGTTGTCTCATGACACTCATCTTTAACTGCTCCTTCACCCTCCTACCTCAACAACCATGCCCTCCACTCCTCCTGATCCGAACCTCAGCTCGGGTCCAAATCGTTGACTGTCCAGCGCAATCGGAAGTCGTCCCGACGTGAAAGACGCTATACAAAAGTAATCTGTTGTTGTAATTCACTCACTGAGCTTCTGACTGATTATAAAACATTCATATTAGACCGGCACACAGAAAAACAAGAGGAACTTTTACTTAGATCTGTAGTCTACCCTAGTCCAGGATCACTGCTGGTCTAACTGATTACCTGTCAAAAATCAAGTCCTGGGTAAGCTCTAACTTTCTCCAGTTGATAGTCGACAATGCAGAGGCTCTCCTGCTTGGCTCCCAATCAACACCTTCTCACCCCACACACAGACATCATCAGTATTTATTGATGCATAATCCACCTCATGGAGGCAATGTGGAACCTCTGTGACTTGTTTGCCGGCCAACTGTCCTTAAACGCCACCTATGTTTTGACCTGTTCATTCCTCCCCTCTGTTACATTGTCTACTTCTGCTACTTCCTCTCCCCTCAGACCGCGAATACCCTTATCAGTGTTTTACCACATACAGGTTTGATTACACCCACACTCTGCTCGCTGGACTTCCCAACTCTTCCCTCCACAAGCGACAGCCTGTTCAGAACTCTGCAGGCCATGTCCTCTCCCAGACCAAACCGTGCCTCGCCTGACTCCACCGGCTCTCCATCGCCCGGCAGGCGAGTTCTCACCTTTAAAGCCGTCCACAATCTTGTCCCACCATTTCTCTGTGACCTCTATCTGTCAAACCCTACCAACCCATCTGCTCCCACCGCTTGGCGGGCACTGTCCTGTTCGCCACACCTCGGCGGGTGGACCTTTAGATTTTCTACCCCTTACTTCTAGAATTCCATCCCAGAGTCTCTTTGCCGACAGACCCCTCCTTTGCCTCCTTGAAGGCATTCCTCTTTTACTGTGTCTTCTGTTATTTTCCCACACGCACACCTTGGCCTCCACTCCTCCCAAATCCAACCGCCAGCTCAGGTGCAAACCCTTGACTGTCCAATTCTTTGGCACATACATTAAAACATGCAAAGCCGCTACAGAAATGGAATTTGTTGTTGTTGAACAGTGACATTAAATGGCTCAAATTTAGGAAAAAATGGCCTCTGACTGTTTGTACTCAATGTTTCATAAAAGATATTGCCAGGAAATTATAGTGGTAAAGTGTATAAAATGCAGATGATTGCACACAGTTACAGTTCACATAAATATCTTTCATTCTTAGGGAAGAAATACGATCCTACCGGATACCTCCCTGATGGTAATGCTCAAAAGTCAAACTGTTTCCTTCGCCTCAACTAATTAAAGACAAAATATTGTCATCGACAGGCTGTCTAGTCAATGTTGCACAGCAATAATCATCAACATTAAATTATAGAATAAAAGTGTTGTTTAGCCCATTGTGTCTGTAAGAGCGTTCATTCCCCCATTGGAGTTTGCTATTAATAAACCTCCTTTGCTCTTTCCCATTGTGTCTGCACTGCTGCTTCCTCACCAGTAGAGCTCTGTGCTCAACAACATGTTGCGTTTGTGTTGTGTGAGGAATAGCACGAGGAGGAAATAAGGAGTGGAAGCTGAGTGACCAGGAGAAGGGTGGGGATTGGGCGAAGGGAAGGAGGACCCTGGGGTTGCCCTTGGTCTCCACGATGATCCTGGAGTAGCAGGACCATTTGGCTGAGGTTAGGCTGAGCGATAGGGTTTAGTATAATCCAGCCATGATCAGCCTGTTACCATGAGGCCAGATTTAAGCCACATGCATTTGGAGGCATGGGCCTGGGATGTGATGGAGCTGAGGTGGCTGTGGTACCAGGAGGATTGCAGGGGGAGCAGACTGTGTGGGGTGTGATGGTGAGAGGGTGTTCAGAATGGTGGTGAGGGAGCTGTGTATGCGATGGAAAGTTATGACTATTGATGGGAAATAATCAGTGATGTTGATTTAGTCAATCTTTATAATCTTTATAATCTCTTCTCTTGACAGTTCCTGACCATGGTAAGAAACAGAATTGGCAATATTTGTTTCTTTAAATGTATGTTTTTATTCTTCATCGAGTCAATTGCAGCTCTATGACAAGATTTAAGGTATATGAATTTACAATATTGAAGAAAAGTAAACCTTTCCATGTTGCGTTATTTTGCTTTAGTTTGCGTTAATTGATTTAGTTGCTACTTTTAAAGTGTATGTAAATATCTAACTTGGTAATATTGGTAATATTTATATTGAATTCAGAATTTAAAGCTTATTGTTTAATTGGAAAAGGAGACAGTGTGTTTCCTGATGGATTTCCATTCTCACGTTGTGGAATTGTCCAGATTCAGTACACAGAGAACCATAGAATCTTACAGCACAGAAGGAGGCCATTCGGCCCATCGTGCCTGTGCCGGCTCTTTGAAAGAGCTATCAATTAATCCCACTGCCCCGCTCTTAACCCTTAGCCCTGGCAATATTACCTTTTAAAGTACCTTATCTAATTCCCTCTTGAAAGCAATGTCGAATCTGCTTCCAGCACCGTTTCAGACAGTGCATTCCAGACTGTAACGACTCCCTGGGTAAAAAAAATTCTGCTCGTCTTCCCTCTGGTTCTTTTGCCAGTTATTTTCAATCAGTCAATCTGATTCAGAGTCAACATGTCTTTACAAAGGAGAAGTCATGCTTAACAAATCTTTTAGAGTTTTTTTGAAGCTGTATCTCGCAGGTTAGATAGAGGGGAACCAATAGATGCAGTAAATTTAAATTTTAAGAAGGCATTTGACAAAGTGCTGCACAAAAGGCTATTTATTGCACAAGGTTAAGACCCACGGGATTAATGGGAACATATTCGCATGGATTGAAGAGTGGCTAACGGGTAGAAAACAGAGTGTAGGGATAAACGGGTCATTCTCGAATTGGCAGGATGTGACTAGAGGAGTGGAGTCCTGTAGCTCAGTGCTTAGAGCACTCGCTTTGCAAGTGAGAGACCTGAGTTCAATTCCAGGCAGAGGGCCAAACCTTCTTTACTCTACACACCTAATAATAATCCCTCCAAAACCCAATACAATAATAAATTGGTCATTTTCAATCTACGACTGTTTGTGGGACATTGCTGTGCGCAATTG